TAGTACCAATTTCCTAGCTTCAAGATATTTTTTGCTTTCAGTAGGCAAAAGATCATTCTTTCTGAAATACTGTAAGCAAGGTCAAATTCGATCCATCTACTCACTAGGCATTTCACTATTATGAACTTGTGGCATTTTACAATATTTATACCATTCAGCATCAGTACAATTGGTTCCACATAAATCACTTAAGCTAACTATTTTATATGACTTATTTGTAGTGATTATGGAAGTTATATGTAATTTATATTGTATTTAGGAGATTTAGACCTATTTGATTTAATAACTTATATACTCTAGAATATACAATTCAATTTTAGTGCGATTAAATTTTGAAACCATTTCTTCAAGAATGTTGTATTTTGCAAGGAATAGATGACGATAACGAATCATTATTTTCTATTTGTCAATATAGATTTTATAGGTCTTGATTTTATGCTCAGAAATTTCTCTAGAGCTGTGAAAGTATGATAGGTACGAAGTATTTAACTTATAATTACGAGATTTTATCATAAGCAGATATCGATAACGTGATATGTGACATAGAATGAATTCGAATGTAATAGAATCTACATGCGTAATTTGTATATTTCGGGGATTTTTTTGACGACGGCCCGTCGCTGAAATTTGGTCATGTGATTTATTATACGTGTTATATATGATCATCAATGGCACGTATTTTTTTCATTTAAATCTTTTCATATGTCGGAAAAACCTATAAACAAATATTTTGAAAGAAAGTCATCCGAATGGAATATAATAGATTACCTGGATTACTGTACTTTAGAACCGTTCGAACTGAAAATAAACTATTACATTAAGGATCTCGAGTTTCTTGTCAAACACGAAGGACATTGCAAACGCGAAAAAGCACAAGTGTTGCTTGATAATTACCGGAAGGCGAGTATAGAATCTTTATCATTAAAATAGCCACGAGTTGATAGCGTAACGGTGGCCTGCAAGGTTGCGCGTTATGGCACGCAGGTGGCCAGCTAGGTTGCCTGACGTTTCTGGTCCTGTCAGGACACGGATGACCTGCAAGGTCGTCTGCCGTTCAAAGGCTGTAAGCCGATTTGGCAGGATCGAGGTGAATTAAGGTACATTATTTCAGAACACTGTTAAACAATTATGCCTTACCATTCTAGGGTAGTCAACTGGATTACCATCTGGCTAGGGCGTGGGAGAAGGGACGATCTGGAAAACAGATTCAATGCTACCAACCGACGTTTCTGGATGGCGGAACTATAAATGGGAGCGTAAATGGAAATATAACCTGTGGAAATTTCACCGGATCTTCTAACAAACGAGGGGAGGAAGAGGTATGGATTTGTAGTTTTGATTATTAAGTTATTTAGAAGAACTATTTATTTTCCGTTGATACTTCTAGGTTGATGATTCCAAGGCGAAAAGATCTTTCAAGAGAAATCGCCAGGACACTGACGAGAGGCACACTACACCACCATCACATTCAAGTGTAACTGAATCTGTGGAAGTCATTGATGATTCGGAAAGTGACACCGGATCAATTGATATAGATCGTAGTGAAGAAGAGATTAGGAAGCTTACGCAGGTATTTTATTTATTTGCAATCTTTTATTGCTTTTATATAACTGATAATGATTATATTTAATCTTTTAGGATGAGGTGGACATTCGTAACAAATTACTCAAAATTCTTACTGCACGTCAAAAAAAAGACAAAGAAGCCGGAAAAGATTTTATGGCATCAATATACCTCAACAATATTATAGATTTATCAGACGACGAAATATATAAACGGGTTAAAAAGTCCTTGAATAAGGATCAAATTTCTTGGCTTGAAGGGGTCCTCCAGAAAAAATATTGGAAACCTACTCCGGAATTTACAGAATATATCAATCAATTCACTGAAGAAACCTGTACTAGAGCTAATATTCCAACAATTGTTCGCAAATCCTGTATTTCTGGGAGGTTTGATTCTTCTTATCACGAAGCGCATGATATCGCTCTGCATATACTAACTCATTTGTAAGTATCCTTCACGTTAACAGTTAACATTAATCAAATTCTTTATTATTAATTTTTTCGAAATAGTTCTTTACGTCTAGAAGCACCTATGAGAGTTGAGTACAAAGGCCTCGATCTAGAAAGAACTTATGCCGTAGACACAATAATTTACATTTTAAATAGGATATTTAGGATGTACCAAGATGAGTTGGATGTTGCTTGGTAGATATCAATTTAAATTTCGAAATTTTAAGTTATTAATCTTGCTAATTAATTTTTTTTGTTTAACTAAGGATTGAACAAACTTCTCCAGATACAAAGAATCATAAATTCGATGGATTATATAAAGTAATTAGTACAACAGGCAAAAATCAAGCTATTATTATTATCGAATTTTCACGTGGAAGAAAAACGCCCATGTCTAAAAAAGATGGTGATTTGATTAAGCTTTGTCGGAACGCTATGAGAACTTTGAATGTACAATTAAGAAAGGTACCCAAGGAGCGTGCACGCATATACTTAGTGCAATCATTTAGTAAGTAATTATAATTGGAAATCAGATCGTACAAGATTACTTTTTCACATATGTTTCTTTATAGACGGATTTGTTGAAATTAGGTATTTAGTTCGGCCACTGCCAACTATATATATGCTACAACAATTTTTGCACGTCAAAATACCTGCTACCTTTGGTGATTTCGAACAGTTTTCAAAGGACATGATGTGTTTGATGAATTGGCAGGTAGAGTATTTGAAAATACTTGTCGATAACGATATCAAACAAGTAATAGTAATAATTTTGTTTTTTTACAGGCAGATGTCTTGTCAACAGCTAGAATAGTAAATAAAGCAACCACGAATGTTATAAAAAATAATATTTATATAACTTCGGTAGATGATACTCCGCAAAAGAAAGAAAGTAATAAAAATCAACCTTTACCTAATTCCTCATGTCCTACTTCCCCATCTCCCGTTTCCACATCGTCGGGTCGCGATTTGATGCGTCATCTGGATTCCCCAGTTCATGAGAAAATCGATTTAAATGATTTAGATAATACGCTATTTAAATCAAAAAATTGATATCAACTGATTTTACAATATATCATTCAAATATTTTTTAATTAATAAATGTAAAAATTATATTTGATATCTAATCATTAATTCATGTAATTCTGTGTACAATGAAACGACTAAGTAATCGGAATCTAGATTTTGTAAATAATTTGTAAAATTTTCATTGGAATTTTTTGATGATGGGCCATCGCCAAAATTTTTGTTACTTTGTTATACATTTTAAATAAATAATAAGATATACAATCTATTACTAAATCATGCAATCCAAGATTGATTCATTAAAGTAACGAATTTCCGAGCTTGAAGTCAAAAAGGCTGAGCTTGAAGCCAAGAATGCCGAGCTTTTAAAACAGGTTACGGAAGAGAACACCAAACGCGAAGCTGAAAATGCTGAGCTCAAGGTCAGGATCGCCAAATTGGAACAGGTCGCAGAAGAAAATACTGAGCTTAAAGATAAAATCACGAAATTGGAACAGAAACAGACACAGGCTATTACTAATGAGCAGGAAGCATCTCCTACAAGAGTCATTTCGCCACATATTGAGAGCCATTCTGATAAGGAGAAAGGCATTACCCTCGATCCCTTGCCTAAAAATAGAAGATAGCTCAACCCAGGCCCAAAGGGGCGAATCTTTAGATTCATCTGAATCTTCAACGGAGCCTGAAACATCTACAACCTCTTTATCACAAGATATTATCGGCACTAACATGCCGGCTCACACCGATGACGATTCAGCTGAGATCCTAGATTTTGTAGAAACGATACATAAGGAAAGGATTAGTAACGAGATAAGAAAAAGGAACCGGGAAAAAAAACTTCAAGAATCACATAATAACTTAACTCCACTGATACAATCCGAAACATCAACCATATCGACACCTGAATCTCTGGACTCGAAAACTGTGAAAAAGCTTTGGGATCAAAATAAAAGCCTGAACAAAACATCCCAATCGCACAAGAAAAAGGGAACAGAGAATATCGCTCAAGTGATAGCTGATGGTATTCAGGACAATAGTCTTCCAGAATTCAAATCATGTGACTGAAATTTCAGCGACGGGCCGTCGTCAAAATTCTTCTACAATCTCATTACTCGACTTGGCACAATTATTTGATAAAGCAACAAATGCTGAATATTATGCTACAAAAGCTAACCAGGAAGAAACCTTATGCTGGGCTAACTATGGAAAAGAATTCATAATTCAGTATAATGATCTTATTAAAAATAGTAATGACAAAATTGGTGAGAAGAAAGCAAAGGGTATAATTTATGATAAAATATTAGAGCACCTTACTATTATCTGTGAAAAAAGATTCAAGGAAATGGGATTACAACTCCCAGAAATCTCACGTAAAACTTTATGTAGAAAAATCCAAAGGGCTATAAAGACTTATAAATTATTTGAAAAAATAGGAATTGATAAAATTAAGTATCTTAAAGCATACAGTGCAAATTCTATTTCAGAATTGACAAACGATCAAATTCAAAAGATTATCGATAATATTTCTAAGGAATCAAATCACATGACTGAAATTTCAATGACAGCCCGTTGCCAAATCATCATCATGCAACCAAAATTTTATCTGAGGCAAGTACACTTATCGAAGAGACAAAGTCTCAGTGTGAGCTGGCTAAAGGCCGAGTTTCAGACTCATCTGTTTCTATCAATTCAAAAACTTTACCAGAAACTGAGGTAAGTACATTACCTGAAAAGGTTTCATTGGAAAAATTACCAGAAACAATTTCAGAAAGTTCAACCGAGGCAAGTACATCATCCAATCCAACTCATGACCATGCTTACTTTCGTAATAAGATATTGTTGTGATATTTTGATCTATATAAAACATTTATTACTGAAAAATTTGATTACTATGATATTATTGAGAGATCATTATGCCCAGTATGTAAACTATATCATGAAGATGGGAAAAGTGTAAAAGGTAGATACAAAGCTGGATCCTACATCAGGAAATTTTAATAAGCAAAAATTTCCGGAATTTTAATATGGTATTAAATTTTCGGAATTTTTTACAAAATATT